GGACCCAACTACTTGCCTTGATGTCTCCTGGGTGAGCAACTTGCTTGTTCTTATAGTAATCAGTTGGACTGCCATTATTATTTTTAATTTTTCCTGTTGGTCTTTCTTTTAAGAAGTATCTTGGGTTCTTCTAGCCGCTCCAGGCTAGTCTGCTCTCCCTTTCAAGTGGAGATTTCCCATCTCAGAAGATTCTGGATGGGGTTCAGGATTCCACCTATGGTCTTAATGCAATGCAAAGGCTCCATAGGAAGCCTCCTTCACTGGGTACATTGTAGCCCCATATTAGGTATTCTAATCAGTTATAGGCAGAAGATGGTCTTACAGGCTTTCTATGGTGATATTTCTGGCTATTCCATTCTCTCCCCCATCAGGTGTCTATTTTACAATGGTATGCAAGGGAAACCAAGATTCAAAAGACAGCCAAGCATCTTAACATTATTTTCCCTCTTTTATCCATTCCAACCATGCCTAATCCCTATATCCCAGAGCCCTATTGTTTCAAGGTTGTGCATACATCATTATTTACCTCTGTCACACTTAGCCTATTCAAACCTGCCTAAATGTTCTCCCATCAGCCTTGTTCTTGCATTTCCCTACCCCTTCTTGTGTATTGTCCCCCTCCACAACACCTAAACTATTCTGTGTCTATTCCCTACCCTGTGCTCCACCTTCCCTTCCCTCCCCTCACCCCACTCCCCACAACCCGGTAACCAGCAAAGAATTCCCCCTGCCTCCTTTTAGTATGGGTTCTTTTTCTTAGTCTTTTACAGTAGTGGTCCTATGCAGTATTTCTCCTTTTGCAACTGATTAATTTCACTCAACATAATGTCTTCAAGGTTCATCCATGTTATGTGGTGGCTTACAGCTTCCTTGTTGTTCTTCAAGGTAGCATAATATTCCATTGTGTATATGTACCACAGTTTGTTTATCCATTCTTCAGTTGATGGGCACTTAGGCTGTCTCCATCTTTTTGCTATTGGAAATAGTGCTGCTATGAACCTTGGTGTGTATATATCTACTCGTATTATGGTTCGTATTTCTTGTGGGTAAATACCAAGTAGAGGAATTGCTGGATCACAAGATATTTCTATTTTCAACCTTCTGAGGAAATGCCATATTGCTTTCCAGAGAGGTTGGACCATTTTGAAGTCCCACCAGCAATGCAGGAACGTCCCAGTCTCTCCACATCCCCGCCAGTATTTATTGTCCTCTACTTTTTTGATCTTTGCTGTTATTGCTGGTGTGAGATGATATCTCATTGTTGTTTTGATTTACAGCTCTCTAATGGCTAGTGATCGTGAGCATTTCTTCATGTTTGTTGGCTGCCTGGATCTCCTCCTTGGTGAAGTGTCTGTTCATATCCTACACCCATTTTTTTTAATTGGGTTACTTGTCTTTTTCTTGTAGAGGTATTGTAGTTTCCTATATATTTTAGAAATGAGTCCCTTGTCCGATGGGTTTTTGCAAAAGATTTTTTCCCATTCTGTGGGTTCCCTTTTTACTCTTTTGGTGAAGTCTTTTGATGCACATAAGTTTTTAATTTTTAGTATGTCCCACTCATCTATTTTGTCTACTTTTGTTTGTGTCATTTTCAAAATGTTTGGTATTCTTTGTATTCCCTGAATTAGAGCCCTCACATTTGTCCCTATTTTTTCATCGATGGGCTTTATTATTCTGGAATTCAGATTTAGGTCTTTTATCCATGTCGAGTTGGTTTTTGTATAGGGTGTGAGGTAAAGGTCTTGATTCAGTCGTTAGCATATCGCTTTCTAGTTCAGCCAGCACCATCTGTTGAAGAGACTATCTCCTCCCCATGCGATATATTTAGGTATTTTGTCAAAAATCAATTGGCTGTATGTAGATGGGTTAATTTCTGGATTCTCGATTCTAATCCATTGATTAATGTGTCTTTCATTGTACCAGTACCAAGCTGTTTTGACCACTGTAGCCTTGTAATAAATTTTGAAGTCTGGGAGCGAGAGGTTTCTAACCTTATTCTTCTTCTTAAGCAGTGTTTTGCTTATCCTGGGTCTCTTTCATTTCCATATAAAATTTATAATTGTTTTTTCCATCTCTTTGAAGAATGTCGTTGGAATCTAGATTGGGATTTCATTATATGTGTAAATTACTTTGGTCAGTATTGACATTTTCACAATATTAAGTCTTCCTATCCAGGAGTATGGTACATTCTTCCATTTTTTGTAGCTCTCATTTGGTTTCTTGTAGTAGTGTTTTATAGTTTTCTTTGTATAGGTAAAGTGCATCTTCTTTTAACAATGGATTCTAGGTACATAGAATTTGACTAATTATAACATTGGGTTCATGGCACAATGTCACCATTTTAGTCCACCCAAGATCCCTTTTCATTTAGTTAATTTATACTGAAACACTTGGGATCTTGGAACCCTGTCAAGTTACTTCACAATGGGTATTCTTATAGCTAAATTTTACTTTGATATTTTTCTCTCCATCATTTTAGGTAGAGAAATAGATTATTCTCATTAACCAAGTTATTGTACTAAATTCTGAGCTTTAGGTATCTGTAGATATCAGTTTGCTGTAAGACTAATATAAAATACATAGGTTGGAAAACAGTTTACTTGAGTATATTATTTTCATTTTGTGTGCTCTTCTACATGCCCCCTCACCTGCCCGAGTATGCCTAATATTTCAAGAAGGTTGTTTTTTTAATTATATAATTTTTTTTTTTGAATGTAGAAAGTCTAAGTTATTAATTGACAAAGAGGTTGTTATTAATGGTAGAGAAAGGTAGAGAATAAAATGGAGAAACCAATTTTATAAGGAGATGCCCATGAGAAAAGGGAAAAAAACTTTGGAAATTGCCATTGGGAAATCTGACTCCAAGAGAGAAGGCAGCGGCCAGTAATGAAAATGAAGTCTGATTTCCTAGTTCCTTGTGTGGCCAGTCCATCAGCTTCTTCATTGCCTTTGATGCCTTGATGGCCAGGAACATCCTTCCACCAAATATCCATGCCTTGGGAAGGTCCATCAGTCTTTTCAATATCATTTCTGTTGACAGCATCTCTTCCAGAGGCTGTTTTCCATCCATTTTGTTTCCAGTTACAGTTAATTCTGTCATGCCCTTAATGACAAAGTTGCTATCAGTTTCAATGGTGAATTTTTATCTGTTTGGCTTTCTATTGCTTTGTTGGTGGCCCTCATTCTGCCTTTAGGTTTGTCTTCCCCAAACCCTCTCACTTGATTGGGTTGTTAGGTTCCCAGTAAAACCCATTTCCAGCTTGGGTACCATTTCTCCCATTATTTCTGCAGCTACCATCCATGTAAACAGTTAGAACCCATTCTCCTCCAGCACTGTGTCCGCTTCATCCCCTGAAGTTCATGTCAGACTTACACCAGTAGCAATCAGTGACGTGCTAGGGCCCTGTAGTCTACAGTTGATTACTTAATTTTTAAAGCTAAAATCAAAATTCTTTAAAGACATAGCTTTCAGACCTGTAATGATATTTGCAAAGTGGTGCAGCTGGCCAAGGTGATTTTTGTAGGTAAAGTAATAAATGAATATATCCTTTATAATAAGAGATAAAGTAAACGTATGATTTATGTTAGATATATAATCCTGAAATTGAGTTAGACTGAGAAGAGATTAATGACAGGATAGTTTTCTTAAGACCTCAAAACAGTGCTTTGTTGTGGCCAGATAATATAACCAGTAGATCATTATATGTAGATTAAACTGTGTGATATAGGCAGATCTTAAAAAATACAACTATTTTATTAAATGATATCAAATTGTACCACTCAGTTATTTTAGAGATGTTAAAATAAAACTCAACTAAGTTGGTTAAAAATCCGAGAAATTATCAGCCTTAATACATTTTGAGATTTAATTTTAGAGCAAGTTTAAAATGCTCAGATAAACTGGGGATTGCCTTTGATCTCCCTCTAGGATTGTATAATTAGAATTATAGAACGATTTTCCAGTTCAATCTTTATTTTATTTAAGCTATGCTTTTATCACAACATTTCATGTCAGTAATTTATGGGATAATCATCCAGGTGTTTTATTTTTGTGAAGAATTTTCCTTGCTTTTGTCTTGTCCTATACAAATATAGCTGATGAATGAATACAGTTAAGGTCTAAACGAGGAGTTAGTGCCCTGTAACCCCTGGGCCAATTCAGTCTGTTGACATTTTGTAAATAAAGCTTTGGGAGCAAAGCTGTAATCATTGGTTTACGTTTTGTCTGCTTGCTACAATGGCAGAGTTTGAGCAGTTGAAACAGAGACCATAGGACCCCTGAAACCTAAAATATTTACTACCTGACCTTTTACGGAAAAAAATTGCCTACCTCCCCCAGTTTTAGACAAAAGGAGGCATTATTAAAGGTGTGGGCCATTTAATGTTTGATTTTCTGAAAACACAAGTCTCTAATAGTTGTTATGTATTTCTAGAACGCCAGCGGTGTGCTCTTTGGATTAGAAAACTGTGTGAGCCTTCGGGAACAGGTACAGGGCTGGTGGGCAGGAAGAACCGGAATCTCTATGCTAAGCTGTTGCTGCACATGCTGAAGCGAGGCGTGCTGGAAGGCCCTTTTGCACATCGACCTGAGCCAGGAACACTCAGAACTTTACCTTCATACATGGTAGGTGCCATTGATAGCAAGATGTAGTCATTTTGTTTCTTTAAAAGTGAGTGTCAGTTTATCATTCATTTTGGGAAGGCACTGATTGATCAGTTAAACCTGTTTTGTTTCCTTTCTCCTTGAACCATTTTTTCTACCTTGAGTAAATAATAGGTGTTGGCCTATGATTTATGGTATGGTGCTGCAAGTTAATGCGCTGGATTGCAAGGTCAGTTTGAACCCCAAGGTCGGCAGTACAAACCCACCAGCTGTTCCTCGGAAAATGTATACAGAGTCAGTATGGGTCGGAACTGACTTGATGGCACTGAACAACAACATTGGACTATAGGAGTAGTGAGGAAAAAGAGGACTTTTCTGTTTCTGTGAAGATTTACAGCTTCAGAACCCTTATTCAAGGTCACTGTGAGTCGGAATTGACTCAACAGCACCTAATGGCATCAGCAGCATGGGGCTATCCTTACAGACTTAGCCATTTTTCAGTATCTACAATAGTTCTGAAACACTGAAAGTGAGTTTTGATCTTGAGCCTTAATTTCCCACTAATTTTAGAAAATAAGAGTATTATCTATTTTTCATAAAGGGTAGGTTTTGAAACTCTTTAATATGCATTATTTCAGAATCCAAGAGAGCTTGGATTAGGTAAGGTCCAAAGTTCCTGTCCACTCTCACAAAATGGTAACAGTTAGTTGGAGCTCACAAATGATTCTTGTTTTTCAGTTTTATTATCAAAATTGGCCTTGTTGCAAAGGCGGTTATGATGCTTGGTCGATGAATTGTCGTTGCCTTGGTCTTTACCAAAAAACCCCGAAGTCCCCTGTTGAATCGTTCCGACTCGTAAGATGCTGTAGGACAGAGTAGAATGGGCCCCATTGAGTTTCCAAGGCTGCCATCCTTACGGAAGCAGACTGCCACGTCTTTCTCCCTTGGAACAGCTGCTGGAGTCAAAGTGCCATTTTTTTTAGTTAACCCAGCGCTTAACCATTGTGCACCAGGCTACCTGGTCCTTACATCTCTGAAATAGGCCTTGGTTTGCGGATACAGAAAAACTGAGATCATGACTGGGAACCAGTGTTTCATATCAGTCATTGAATTTTATAGCATATTAATAAAGGGCTTTACAAATAATACTGATAAGATTGGTTAGAGGTTTATCCTGGTTTGCCTTGCTAGTTGAATGCCTGGCCACAACTAAATCCAAGGTCTCTTTCATCATGAAGGCTTTTGTTCCCATGTTATCAAAGGATTCATCATTTCTGATCTGTATCAATGGAGACTGCCCACTGATTTGTATTTTTCTGCACCAAGTAGTTGATGAATACAGAAAGAAGAGAGCACATGATTTTTTAAAAAAGGAGAACTTATCTATTCATCTTTTTATAAAACAAATTGTTACTTAATATCATAAATGTTTATTGTCAGATTTATGTGTTATGTATTTCAGTTGTTTATCAGGTTTCTTTATTCATTAGGGCCTTAAGATGTAAGCTATCAATTTTATGTGTTTTAATATTTCCTGATCCACTGTGCCTTGAAGGATACATTGCCACCTATTTGTATCTTAGTAAATTTGAGTAGAGTGTTTGAGAGACTTTATCACAAACTTGAAAATTGATGGGAATTTTATTAATGTTACATTTTGAAAGAGTCATTTTTCTGATTTTAAAAAACCAGTCCATCTATTTTGATGAGCCAAATTCTGCACGTGCAAAAGAGCCAAGTCCAGAGGGATTACCAGAGTGGGTAGCGGGTGAGCTGGGGACAAGTGACCACGAATTGCAGGACTCATGGAGACTGTCTTCTGGGGAAGATAGCACCTTGGTGCAGTCGCCAACTGATACCCGCAGGTATGCTGTGACAATGGGTTCAGAGGTGTTTCGTCATGTAGCCGGTCTCATGACTGGTTCATGCATTCCCTTTACCCTATCTTTTTCTATTTATGATGAGCTGTTGGTTTACTTTGTATATTGAGGGCAGCAAATGAGTTTGAGTAGGTAAACAAGAAGTTTGCTTGTCTGTTTACTATCTATCCAAGATTATTTTGCATTTTTAGCTGCATCTTTCAGTATCTGTTGACCTCATATAAGGGGGCTTCAACAAGTGGGTGGAAAAATTTTATTATCATTTCATTCCATTTTCTACCCACTTTTTGAAGCCCCCATGCACATTCCAGTGGTTGACGAGTGATTCTCGAGTATTTTTAATTCATTTCTCAGTTTTTCCTTTTGAATTAAGAACATTATCACTTATTCAGCAAAATATAATGCCCTGCATTTCCATCTTGAAACTCACTGTTCTGTTTCTTTTCCTCTCCTCTCATTGAAAAATTATTTGTGTTTTTAGTGAATTAAATGATGAATGCATAAGTCAACCCCCCCCATTATATTGTGCATTCTGACTAGATTACTAATTTTACATAGTATTTTTAGTACAAATAAGAAATAGACAGTTAAAAAGATACAAAAAGTACATAATTGTTGTGATATAATTTCCGGCCCTGAGAAGGAATAAATTTAAATTTGGGCTTTTGCCAAATTTTGATTTTTATCTTTGACATTGTTTTCTGAAGTGTTAATATCTTAGACTGTACTTCAGATGTCACTCCTCATCAGTCTCTTGTTGTTGTTAAGTGCCGTCGAGTCGGTTCCGACCCATAGTGACCCTGTACAGGGTTTCCGAGGGTGTAAATCTTTACGGGAGTAGAAAGCCTCATCTTTCTCCCGCGGAGAGGCTGGTAGTTTCGAACCGCTGACCTTAAGGTTCGCAGCCCGATTCGTAACCACTATGCTACCAGAGCTCCTTCATCAGTCTCTTAGTAATTTAAAAATTTAGGGGATTGCTTTGTATTTTGTGTAAATTTGTTACCACTAATATAGTCTTTCATGAATATTGTTAATTTTGAGGGGTTAGTCTTCATTCTTCCTTCGGAGTTCTGGTGGGGCACTGTGGGATAATGCGCTGGACCACAAGGTCAGTTTGAAGTGCAGGATTGGTGGTTCAAACCACCAGCCGCACCTCGGAAACCAGGGTTGCTTTGGGTCAGAATCAACTCAGCAGCACTTAACAGCAACAACAACAGCAAAATCTTCATTCAGATACAGTAATACTAATAATAGGAAATATTATCAACTTGGTGGTTGATAATAGCCAGTTTTGTTTTCAGACCGTAAGTATCATGAAGGAAAATGGCAGATGGACACAAGGCAGTACAGTTCACGTGAATTTTTTTTTTTTTAATTGAAAAGGGGAAATTATAGGTACAAAAGTAAGGTGATGTAATTAATGTTCAGAAGAGTTTAAAATACATTAACAGATAAATATATAAGAGGTGGTTTAAAGTACTTACTTTTGAATTAATGGAAGAAATTCAACCAGAAGAGGTGTATTGTGGCAAACAGATTTTTGTCAGCCTTATAGGCAGGTAAGTAGAAGTAAACAGGAAAAAATGCAAAACCCATCACTTATTTGCCAAAATACTTGTTGAGTGTCCAACTCACCCCTGGGCACTTTTCTAGGTGTCCTGAATATGAAGGTCACAGTGCAAAGGTAAACCCAGCTAGTGTCCTGTATGGTGAAAGTTTGCATTCTGGTGACTGGCCTGAGTGATCATGTGGTCAGTTAGCTCAGTTTGACTTATACGGTGTCTTTCAAGATAGTTAAGTGAGTTGTCCAAACTGACAATAAGGACTGTGATGGAAGAACTCAGATTTCCTTTGTAGGCTATCTGCTGCCATTGAGTCAATTTAGAATCCCAGCCATCCTATAAGACAGAGTAGGGTTTCTAGGACTATGAATCTTCATGGGCGCAGACGTCTTTCTCCTGCAGAGTGGCTGCTGGGTTTCAGCCACTGACAGTTTGTTTTTGCAGCCCATTGTTTAACCCACTGTGCTATCAGGTTGGAGCTAAATAAAATTGAATTCTCCTGGAATGCATGTCTTTTCTCCTTCTTGCTGATGCCCGACTATGCAGTGAGGCCAGTTGTATTTACTATTGAGCTTGAGGGTTTAAAACAGAGCTCTTGGTTTTTTTTTTTATTATTATTAAAGTCGTTTTAAGAAGTAAGTGAAGTATTTTTGTTTTATTTCGTTTAAAAAATATTGTCAAAAGTGAGGAAAATAGTGTAAAACCAATGTTCTCCCATGTAAACTATCACTCACTTCACAATAAAAACTTAAAAAAATAAAAAGTATCTGAGGAATACATACTCCAAATAAATATTATACATTGTTACAAAATGATTTTAAAAGTTTTGATTAATATGAATTTGCTGAGGACAGAGATGGGGCCTTTCCTCTCCAGCCATGTATTTCCAGCACTTAGCATCAGGGCTGGAAGGTGGAGGTAGGGCACTCCGTAAGTATTTATCTGTGCTGAACACACACATGACTGAGAGGGTAGGGTCTGTGGGGCACTGCCACCTGTGTTACTTAGCTGTACAAAATCGCTTTACTATTACGGCAAAGGGAATGGCACAGAGGGTTCTTTTTAATCCTTTTAGAAGTTGAGGGAGGTGTGACTGAAGCACTGCCCCTCACCCTCTGGGAGGGACTGACAGCCAGTGGAGGAATTAGGAGACTAAACCCACTGCCAGAGTCCACTCCAACTCAACACGCCCCTAGGTGAGGTTCCGAGGCTATAAATCTTTACAGGAGCAGACACCTCATCTGCCTCCCACAGAACGGCTGGTGGGTTTGAACCACAGCCCAGTGCTTAACTCACAGCATCACCAGGTGTCCTGGAGCTGGAAAAGCCATCCTTAAATGTCTTTCTGGTCAAGTGTGCTGAAGATCAGAAGGCTAAGGATCCATAGGTGGTGGTGGTGGTAAGTGCTGTTGTTGTTGTTAAGTGCCGTCGAGTCGGTTCTGACCCATAGCGACCCTGCATAGCGTTTCCAAGGCTGTAAATCTTTACAGGAGCAGAAAGCCTCTTCTTTCTCCTGCGGAGCAGCTGGTAGTTTTGAACTGCTGACCTTGCGGTTCGCCGTCCGATTTGTAACCACTATGCTACCAGAACTCCTTGCCATCGAGACATAGTGACTTAGTATAGCGTTTCCGAGGAGCGGCTGGTGAGTTTGAACCACTGACCTTGTGATTCAGATTGACTTTAAGGTCCAGTGTATTCTGTCCAGTCTCACAAGGCCCATTGTTGTTGTTTAGTGCCGTTGAGTTGGCTCTGACTCATAGCGACGCTGTGTAGGGTGTCGAGGAGTGACTGGTGGATCTGAATCAACGATCTTGCAGTCAGGTGCTTATCCTACAGTGCCATACCAGAGCTCCGTCAGGACTCCAAAAACAAAGCTGTTCAGGGTTCTCTATTCTTGTATGTTTCTCTTAATTTAATATTTTGATTTATTTTAAAAAGTTAAACTTGATTTCCAGTTCTAATCTGCACACACATTAATTAACAAATATTTGTAACCGTCCATACATGTGGCATTTTTATATGAGTAACACTAACCTTCGTTGTTGCTAAAGGCAGCCGCATTGATTCTGTGACGGAGTGCATAATGTGTGATGTCACATGAGTGGTGGTAATGAACAGTCTGCTGATGGTCTTTCTGTCCTCTTGCTTCTCTGAAACCGCTCCTTCCCTCTGAGGGGTCCTACTGTGCTCATGAAAAAGTAGCTGCTAATGTTGACCTAATATGTCTAATCAATTCCGTAAGAAATTGTTTTAAAAAGTTTAAGAGGCTGATAATATTTGACACATGTATGTTTTTATAGTGAATAATTTATTGTTACTTAGAACTGAAGTAATGCTGCCTCATAAATTTTACAACCACTTCAACTTGTCCTTTGAAAAACCTCTTTAATCTTAAAAGATTTTCCCCCTTAGTGTTTCTTTTTTGATCACTTTATAAAACCCCGCTTTACTTAGACCTTTTTTTATGTGAAGTATTTCTAATGGCATTTTAGATTATGCTGTTTGTGCCTTGCCTTTTTATATTATTCAAGATGCCCAGTTCTTTTGAAGCCTTTTTATTGGGACTCCGTATTCAGTAGGGATGGTACCTTTCCCTCCCTTGATTCTTCCTGTAGGATGTGCAATATACCCTCGTTCCAGACACATCCGAGGTGTTATGAGCTTCAATTCTATCTGGCTTACTGTCTTGTCTTGCTTTACACTCAGTGTACATTACACATGAATAGACTTATCCATACACACCAAACACCTTCAACCCAGAGCACGCCTGCCCTGGTTTTCTTATTAGCTGCCCATTTTCATCTTTCCTGCTTTAAGGTTATATGATTAGGCATGTTTTCTTATAGAAAAACCACTTTTCTAAATTGCGGTGCTATTTTCTTAGAGATCTGTTCTGGGATTTTTTTTTTTAAAAGTATCAAATACTGTTTACTTTTATGGCATTGAAATATTTGAGTTCTGTTTGGGTTTGGAGCATGGTTTTGCTGATTGGACTTAGAGCTCTCACCTCTGCTTGATTAATTTCATTTTACTTTACAGTCATGAGCTGTACCCATGATGTATTATCTTCCTGGTCATCCTTCTGATGCTTACCCAAGACCTTGATTGTCTTTTTGGCAAACTCTAAGGTGACCCCATGTTCTCCTATGGTGTTCATAGGCTTGCATAACACATACCCTTTCACCTGCAGACTACAGGCAGGACTTATGACTTGCTCTGGCTGACAGAATATGGCAACAGTGATGGCGTGCCACTCTTGGGATTGCATTGCATTGCAGATGATGCCATTTTTCTAGCTGACTCGCTCTTAGAGTCTTGCTCTTCTTCGCTTGCTGCCTTTGAAGAAGCCAGCTGCCATGATGCCTACAGACATCAGAGACTGAATTCCACTGCCAGCCATGCTAAAGGACAGCAGATAGTTCC